TGAATTGAAATGTACTCTAGTTTATATTCATTTACAATTGCAAACCAGAAAAATGTTAGATATTCAGTTAGTATGTCTTATTTCACAAATATAGCAGTTCAAAATGTAAACAAAGGATTTGTTTACATTACGGACTTGACGTAATTGCACTTTTCCACTTTCCACTTTTCAACTTTTCCACTGTTTTAAACTTTAACGTTTTACAACTTTTTTGTAACTTTTCAAACTGCTCGAATGGAATTTTTTAACCGTCTGTCTTCGAACAGTTAGTTGTAACCATATTCCTATTTATCTATAGATACAAACTTACAAACGAGATTTGAAAGAGAGAGGTTACTGGTAAGTTGATCAAATCTATTACACGGGAGAACCTCTAAACCATAGCCTCTATCGAATGGGTCTCACAATGGCTGGAATGACCACACAGAGATTAAATCTCCAATAACGGGGTTCCACAACATACATAAACATAACAATAATACATTTGTTTAGTTTTCCCCTATACTATAGGCTATAGACTATAGTAAACTACATGGACCAATCATGCAGGATTTACCCAGATTACCGTCTGGACCATAGATATGGTCTCGACCGTTTAGGAAAACAGCTTGGAACTGATCAGGACATCCAGAGCTACCATGCAGTGACTTCTATGGAGAACAATATAGAACTCATATAGCTATCCAGTGGTAGAGACAACGTTTTATCCTCTTTTCTTAATATAGGATATTCACAAAAGACAAAGTCTTCGCCGACAGCGGTTAAGAACCAGCTGCCACAACCGCAGTCCACAAGACATCATTCCTGCAGGCTCAGAAGTGAACGGTTTGCCACGGTATATATTCAGTCAAGTCTTAGTAAACGACGAACACCGTTTCTTGTATTGCGAAATCCCCAAGGTCGCGACGTCCAATTGGAAGCGAGTGTTGATGACCTTAAATGGTCATGCCAGATCTCCCTGGGACATTGAATCACGTGACGTCCACAACAAATCACGTGGTTATTTCCGACACTTAAACGAGTATAGCGCTTCGGAAATCGTCGTAAAGTTAAGGACTTATTATAAATTTTTATTCGTACGAGACCCATTCGAGCGCTTAGCTTCGGCATATCGTAACAAATTTGTCGAGAGCTACAATATGACATTTTTCGAAAGGATTTATGGCCGCTATATTATTCGAAAGTTTCGGACAAATTTTTCACAAAATAAAAGAATTAGCTTTAAAGAATTTATAAACTATATATTGGACGGGAAAGCCGAAGTTATGAACACACATTGGGAAATGTACGATGATCTTTGCAGGCCATGTCTAGTCGGTTATGATTTCATAGGTTATTTAGAAGACATTGGACAAGATTCTAGAGACGTTTTAAAAATTTTAGGCTTGAACAATCGAGTGGCGTTTCCTGCAAATATTTCTTCCAAATACGACGTTCCTAGTTCGGTTCTAACGAGAAACTATTTTTCGAAATTACCAAGGGGTTATAAGGAGAGACTATATGACAAGTATAGATATGATTTTGAAATGTTTGGTTATTCAAATCCTAAATATGATCAAGTAACTACAAGCGGCTGAAATCTCAACAGTTTTGCTTGGAATATGCACAAAAAGATGTGCTCTGCAATAGACCTTATGCATAATGACGTCACAAGGTTTGATGCCCGCGGGGAATGCTGGTCTTAGTAGTCATCGCCCGGGAAAATATATCCATTACATAACGTTTACTATATTGGTGCGCGAAACATGGAACGATTACCAAATTTCGATAGTGGCCATTTTGAATTTTGGATTTCCCGGGCGATGACTATTAAGCAGCCCTTGTAATTGGCCTATTTTTGCCTCGGCAAAATTGGGGATTTCTTTGCCGAGGCAGGTACGAACATTGTCAATATGCCTCGGCATTTACTTCGGCAGTTGCCGAGTGCTAAGGCGAATTACAAGGGCTGCTAAGACCAGCATTCCTCGCGTGCATCAAGCTTTGCGACGTCATTACGCATAAGGTCTATTCTGTCTGTCTTCGTGTTACATTTTGAAGCAAGTAACAGCAGATTTATTGTTAAAAAACAGTTTAAATTTTGCTCCATATCATTAAACATCTTCAGATCATATTTGGTAGTCTTTTTTGTTCTTCGGGGAAAGAATTCCCCCAAAACCTTTGCAAAACAAAATTTTCCGCAATCTGTCAACCATGGTCCGTTACATAATGGCCGCACGTGGAGTAGCCAATCAGAATGATGGATTTGTAATGGTCTTGGTTGAGTGTATACTAATAATGTATGATCCGTACTGGACCTCAGGGAAGAACAATCTATTATAACTGGAATAATTATCCTGTATTAATAAAGTTACTTTAGTTTAATTAACAAAACACAAAAACAGATATATGAAATAAATTAGACACTATTTATTATGCGTTTTAATACTATAAAATTTATGTACGAATCGACCTTTGTAAAGCTTCACCTATTTGCAAGCATTCGGTTTAAAGGGTATATTTTTTATGCAGCACATTTTTTCACCCAACAAGAGCCAAGAGGACTGTCTTTCATATGCTTCACACAATTTTAGTTTAGTCTTTACTTAAGCGTATACTGAAATAGATATATTATACTTTGTTAGCAATAGCAAAATTACTTTAAGCCAAGCAATAATACCATACCACTTTTCGCACCACAAATACGCTGAGTTTGTATTTTACAAGGGCGACCCGGGCTCAGCCATCTTCACTTTTTTCTCTTTTCGTGTTCTGCGATCTGCGTGATTTCCCTCGCGGGCCGCGTGGTGTCTTTCGCGGCCTTCACGTTCGCGGTGGTGGTTCCCATTCTCCAACGCAGGTGTCGCTCGACTTCGCGTTTCACCGTGATGTCGTCGCCGACTGTCGTTAAATCCTAAGGAAGAAAAAGGATGAATAGTTCAGTAGAACTGATCGAGCTATCCTGTTTAAATACTGTTGTTATTTAACTTAGGCCAAAAAAAAATATGTGGGTTTCCGGTTTCTTCTTATAAAAACTTAGGTAGGGTAGGTCGGTTTTAACTTTTTTTTTTAAACTTTTTTTTTATTTTTCCGAATAAGCGGACGCCATTTTGTTTAGTCAGTGCTTCCACATCCAAAGATAAATTTCCCTAATATTGCCTCAAATTTCAATTTTCCACAAACTTTTTCCTCTAAGTGGAAACACTTACAAGCATGATCCAATAAAAAAGTTTAGGGTCGGGATTTCGACGTCCAAAAGCTAGGTAGGGTCGGGAAACCGGAAACCCACATATTTTTTTTTTGGCCTTAGTACCACACTTCATATATATATATATATATATATATATATATATATATATATATATATATATATATATATATATATATATATATATATATATATATATATATATATATATATATATATATATATTAGAGCTGTGCGGTTAACCGAAAAATTCGGTTCTTCCGGTACTTTTTTCAGCACCGAAAAACTATACGCAAAAAACCGGTAGTTTCGGTTTTAATTTCCCGTTTAACGCCCACCTGATTGCAGGTTGAAATGTTTGGAAAATAACAAGATTGTGCTCTTTGTGCACAATATGCACTGTACTAAGTGCTCAAATAGTTGATATTTTAGTTGTGATAGTTATTGTTGTGAACTTGCTTTAAATTTTTTTAAAAACTAAGAAATATTTCATCTTCATAAATAAATTCCAACAGTTCTTTTAAAATATTCAGAGATTTATACAAACTTACAAAGGCATAAATTCATCTATTTAGTAAAAATGCTCGAAACATACATAAATGAGTTCATACATTTGTACTGTTCTTCTTTTTTGAAAATAACCGAAACCGAACCGAGGTTTTTTTGTTCCAAAAAAACCGAAACCGGAACCGAGATAAAATTTTTGGAACCGCACAGCTCTATATATATATATATATATATATATGCTCCTTCCCTTCGGTGTTGTATAGAGCCTGATTAGCAATAAATGCAAAGCTTACTTCCCTTGTGGCCTCATGGTAGTCTGCGCATGTCTGCGTTGCTGGCCCGTGCTTTAGAGCATGCGCTTGTGAGAGCAAGTTGCATGTATATCAATACAAAAGTCATCGCGTGTCTAGATGTGTATCAAGCTGCACTGATGAGGCGTAGGCCGCCGAAACATGCATGTAGAGCACTCTGTGAAGTTAATTAGGTGTCCATTAGCAATAATGCAAAGCTCATGCACTTCCCTTGTTTGAGCACTCTGGCCCCATGACGCTCTGCGCATGCCTTGATGCGTTGAAGGCCCGTGCCCCATATATATATATATATCTATATATATATATATATATATATATATATATATATATATATATATATATATATATATATATATATATATATATATATATATATATATATATATATATATATTGCAACTATTTGTGAATGAATTGTTCTCGTAATGACATATTTACCATGTCTCTAAGAAATGGGCTCCATATGTGGGCCACGTTGGGCCATGGTTATAATTTCTTGGTAAAACAGTAGAGTTTGTGTGGAGCGTCTTTCGTTAGGTTAATACTATTTTCCATCCAGCAAACCGCCCTATCGATTTTTTAAAGCCGTCTCTTTTTGGATTTTTTTACTAATTCGGTTATAGGGTTAGGGTTAGAGTTAGGGTTGCGGTTAGGGTTTGTTACATAGCCATTTAACACGACTTCCATCTTCGGAAAAGGACGTCAAGTCAGTTTGTTGGATGGAAAATAGTGCTAACCCTTTCATTTCGTTACGACAGGTAAGCAGAAAGGGGCGATAATTTGTTATGCAGCAGTATAAATTGCGTGTTTGGTCATGCGCAGTTAAGAAGTGAGAAGTACATGTGGGTGTTTAGGTTGTTGTATGGATAGTAGGGGTGTTGAGGGATCATTTTGAGAATTGTGTATATATGTTTACTTCATGTACTAATAGTGTTCGTGAACATGTTATTGGCATGTATGTTGCGAGTGTTATTTCAAGTGTTGGTGCAAGATGATGTTTAGAGAGGGACGTTCTGGCATTAAAAGGTTATAATTTTTGGGACTTAAATTTTTGGGGTAAAAAATTGGTTGAGACATGGGGGGGGGGGGTACGTAGTGAACTGAGATAAGGGATTGAGTGTTTGTTTTGTTGTTTAGGGATCCGACGGGTGTGGATATAAATTTAATAAAAATATATAAATTTAAGACTAGTTTCCCGTCCAAGACGAGAAACTCGTCTAACTTTCCAGTCGTTTCAGACGGGAAAGTTAGACGCAAAAGTTGATGCCGAATACCCGTCGTTAAACGAATTTATATCTGCACGAGTTTCTCGTCTCAAACCGGAAATCCGTCTTCTAATATGAATTCATGCAGCTATTCTAGCGAACCTCCTCGAGCGTCCACAGAGGATTTCAGGCTCAGGGTTCGAGATTGGAACGCTTCCTCCAACCGGAAATTTGAAGCCAATGCGGCAATATGAATTCTTGAAAACAGACTTATACAAAAGAACCTTTTCATCAGCGCTGAAAATTTTCTATTAATGCAAATATTTATTCAGGTAAAATTTCTTAGTAGACTTTGAAAAAGCAATCAATCAATCGCAATAGTCGCGGAACGCAGACATCGCTATCGCAAAAATCGCAGTAATTCTATCTTTGCGACTTGTCGTAAGAGTCTTGGTTATCGGCGTGACTCAAGTTTCCAATAAATCGCAATTTTTATTAAAAATTTCGCGTTTTTATCTGAAGGAAGTGTTCATGGCCAGTTACATTCATTTCACTGTTCTTGCCGACCTATGTCTCGTCGTTTAAAGATTTAAATAACTAAAAAAACACGTTCAAAATTTTTCTTATACATTTTTATTACGAGAAAAGACATCCACATGTTTAACTTATCAACTAATACAATGTAACTACTGACATTAAGCGGATGTCTTGCATTCCTGCTTGAATGCACTTCAAAACTCACCAATCTTAGCCACTTGAAGACTTGGGAGCGTACTGCGCGATATTGTACCGGGGTACAGTCATGGCAACGTAATCCCTTGGCACAGTAGCAGACCCTGATTGAAACTGTAGTGTTCCTTGGGCGGCCTTAATGTTCACATGTTCTGGAGGAGTGGTGCAGCCTTCGTAAATATTGTCGTCATACACGTGGTGCTGATTCAGGTTAGCGTGTTTACCAATGAATATACAATCTTTTGAAGTTGGATTAGCTCCTTCGATCTCGAAAACATTTCCAGCGTAGACCAGATTCTCGTCAGTGAAATCCTGGTGGGGTTCAAGGTAATAGATACCGCTTTTTCGGCCGCCGGGGTCCGTACGTTCCACAATGTGGTTTCCATAGACCAGGACATTCTTCAAAAACAACGGAAGCGGTCGGCCGGCCCGCTCGTGGATGTACAACAAGATTCCTGTATCGTCTACGTAATTGCGCGCAATAACGAGACCTTCTCCGTTTCGTGCCTTTATCCCGCCGGACGAGTCGGGATCCCAACCCCGCACGTAATTTTCTGTGAAGTTCAAATTGTGAAAAGCCTACAAGTAGACAGCGTGATCTTTGTGTGTGGATCCATTACGAACAAATTGGGGCTGCCGTTGAAGATGTTCTTCTCGATCGCAGAGTCCCTATTAAAGCCATGGTAGATTGAAGATTTCCAGAAGCCCTGATCGTCACGGAGATTCAACTCGTTCTTAAGAAACTCAAGCTTCAGTTTTAGTGTTGGCCAGTACGTCGTGCCCAGCTCGTTATCCATCCAGTCAATTCTTCCCAGATCTAACCCGAAGATGTTGTTTTCTATCTCAATAGTTACCGATCTCTGCACGTCAACAGCGACGCCAAATCCGCGTTCATCTCGCAAAAAAACCGAATGACTCAAAGCGGGACGGTGTACGCCACTGTTATCGATATCAAGAATGCGGACCTGACTCTTGTGAAGCCTAGCGTGGGGGGAGGGGTTCTCGTTTGAAAAGAAAACACAATGAGAAATCGTGACTCTGTCTTGCTCAAATTCCAGTTGGACTCCATCAAAGAACAAACGATCAATATCAAGGTAATCATGGGCTGCTATTCCTTCATAGTTTATGGTAGTCAACAGGGCACTTGTACTTTCGGTGCAAAACAAACTGATACCGTCAACAGATCCCATCAAGGTGACTCTACCTTTGATGATAAGGTCCGAAGTGATTAGATATTTTCCGGCGGGGAAGTAAATTACAGTCGTTCCGGATGTTTGGGAAGCATAATTAAAGATGGCTTGTAGGGCTGCGGTGTTGTCATTCTGTCCAGTTTTGTCAGCTGCATTTAAGTTGTTACTGTTAGCAGGGTCCGGATTTGTAACGTCGATGTCGCCCCTAGCACTGGCAGGATCGTTTACGTTGAAGTAATCTAAGTAAAACAGGATACAGTTTTACCATGACAAGTGATGACATACTTTTCTGTACATTGTTACGCGAGTCAACACGCGAACACGCACACGTTGTTACAATTAGACTGCAAACCAGTTGTTACAAATCTGTACACAAGCTGTCGACAAGATGTGTTCGCACTGCTTGTTCCCAGTTGTTGCAACAAGTTAATTGGAGGAAGGTGTTAACAACTTGTAACAAGCTTGAACCCACCGGGCACACGACGTTGTTTCAACGTTGAAATGTGGTAGAAAAAAGGTTGTGACGTCGACAACCTAATATCTACGTTGCTCTGACGTTGTTTTACAAACATTGGTTCAACAGCAGCCAACAGACGTTGAATTAACGTTCATTCATGGTTAAATGTACGACGTCGATTTGTGAACCAATCTCAACGTTGTTTTAACGTGGATTTAACGTTGAATTATGGTTGACGAGATTGGCAACCTAATTTCAACGTTGTTTCAACGTCGAAACAGTAACGTCGATCCAATTTGCATAGTCAACCCTTTTTCAATATCTATCCAACGTCTGGAAGGTCATTTCCAACGTTGATTCAACGTTGGATAAACGTCATTTTGCCCGCTGGGAAGGCATTATCAGACTTAAGATAAAAAACTATTAGTTTTGAAACGCCATCAGACCCTCCCTAAGACAGTTTGTTTACATCGAAAACAGGTAGGAATAAAACAAAAAGTATAATGACATTATGACAGGAAACCATATTTTTACATTTCAGCTTGTAAGTTTAGAATGCCGTTTAAAATACCTGATGAAGACCGTGGACCATGAGAAATTGTGGACACGCACGCGTGGTTCACACGCAAAAATGTCACATCTTGGGAGTCTGCTAAGACGCCGTCAACAAGTTCTGTTCGCACTGCTTCAAGGACGGCGCAACGATTATACGATTGCGAGAAGGGGGGGAAGCTTACTTCATATCCATACCCTTCCCCCGCCCTTCACGTTGCGCAGTTCCTGAAGCAGTGCGAACACAACTTGTTGACGGCATCTTAGCAGACTTGCTACAAGATGTGACATTTTTGCGTGTGAACCACGCGTGCGTGTCCACAATTTCCCATGGTCCACGGTCTCCATCAGGTATTTTATACGGCATTCTGAACTCGCAAGCTGAAATGTAAAAATATTGTTTTCTGTCATTATACTTTTTGTTTAATTGCTATCTGTTTTCGATGTAAACTCAAGCTGAACACAAAGTTGTTTATGGTTTTTATTTTGTGTCTAGATATTTTAGAGAGAAGCCATCTCGCAAGGGTTCTTTTGTTGTAAGTTTTGTAAATTTGGAATTTGCAAAGTGTGGAGACTAGAGAGAGAGAGTGCACTGCAGAGTATACAGCTAGGGAGTCTAAAAAAGTAAAGTATACCTTTGAAAATTCATCTTGTTGTTATAACTTGAATGCATCAGTCCTATAGTGAACTCATGGGTGAGTAGACAATACAATGGACCTTTCCCCTTATAACTAAAATTTTGATCTAGACAAAAATTTCATCACAGCTTGAAAGAGCATCACAAAATTAGTAATCTTCCAAAGTTTTGTTGCAGAATCTTGTAAAATGCGGATAATATAGCCTTGCGAAGTTTGCCGTTTTTCAGTCATTTTGTATTACAAACGGGAAATTGACATCCGATTCGGGTGTTGGGGCTGCAATTTCCCGTTTGTAATCTAAAATGACTGAAAATTGGAAACTTTGCAAGGCTCTATTTTCCTCATTTACAACATTTCACAACGAAACTTTGGAATATTACTAATTTTGTGATGCTCTTTCAAGCTGTGATGAAATTTTTGTCTAGACTTGCCTAGATCAAAATTTTGGTTATAAGGGGAAAGGTCTATTGAATCGAATTTTATGCATGACAGTTATTGAAAGGTTTTTAGCATCGTTCAACATATGAATATGATTCATGTGATGACTAATTTAACGGAGCGCGTAAAACAGTAAAAACTCTTTGCTCTGTAGACAGTTCAACCATTTTTAATCGAACTGAGGGGACGAATTTCTAAGTCGTTTGAACATTCGATTATAATTTTCATGTACAATTTATGCAGGTTTAACATGCTCGCACAATGCATTCCAAACTCCCGGAGGTAATACAGTTTGGGTGTTTACAACCAAACTAAAGCCGGGGTAATTTCTAAAGGGTCACTTTTTTGAGGCACCCTGCAGTTCGGTCCAGTAAAGACAAAACAAAACAAAACAAAACAAAACAAAACAAAACAAAACAAAACAAAACAAAACAAAACAAAACAAAACAAAGCAAAACAAA